TTTTTTTTTGAGTTTTTCTGAAACTATTGCTGATAGGATGTCAAAAATCATGGAGGTTATAAAGAGCAGTCGGCTTTGCAAATCGTCAGTAGGAAACGGAGCATTTGATATGTAATTTAATATGCGGTTGTAGGTTTCAATTGGATTCTGCAAATCTCTAATGGCTCGCAATGCCGTCATGATGGCAAAAAATCTATGCGTATAGAGATCATTTGTTATTTTCATTATTTTAGAGAATTTTATGGCGTTAAGTTAATAATTATTTGTTGAAAATGCAAGTACTAACTGTGAAGTTTCCATATTTTGAGAGCACTATAGTTTTGTTTGATCCACGTAAACTAGACGAGAAGATAACGTTCCGCCTGCAAAAGTGGTCTCTTGACGACGAATTTATTTCTCCCATTTGGGAGATTTTTTGGTCATTCAATCGACGTCAGCCGTGCTAAAGATGATGACGTGTTTGATGGGTAGTTTTTCGGGAAATTGTCCACGTATATGAGCTTTGAATGAACTCGTTTCGGCAGAAATCTCTGACAGACAATAATGACTGTCGTTCTGGGAGGTTTTTTTCATTACATTAAACACTCTTAAATGTTTGCTTTATAGAGCAATTTTAGTAAAAAGGAAGGATGACTTGGGAAAATTCTCTATGCATACGGTATTTCATGATGATGACGTCAGTTTTTTGTGAAAATGCAGGTGCAGATGGGTATTTTGGAAGGTTATCCAGCAGCTCCTTTGCTTTCCCCATATGCATCCAGACTGGTGAATTACATAAAAAGCTGACGTCTTTCCAAAAATTGTTCTCAGTTGACGAGTTCGTTTCTAATTATAGATTTAATTTGGCCTATTTTTAATTAAGAAATCGATAAATAAGCAAAAAAGGCACCGACACGGTTTCTAAATATTCACGCCGCTATAGGAACTATTTCAAAGGGTAGGAGTGAATTTTGAATTTTGCCGTCACCCTTGGCTCTGCCTTAACCGTCATGATGTCATGCTAATGTAACTGCCCTCTCGCTTGTAAGAAACCTGACGTTAAGTATAAACGCGAACCTACCGGCCCCATTTTTCACCTCATCGAGGATTTTATTTGTTTACCTGTTTATTAAAGTATTATAGAGGGACCAATAGGAAAAAAAATAAAAGCAAAAGAAATAAAAGTAAATTCAAAGATCTACAAAAATTAGCAAAACAAAAATGTAATTGGGCGTTTTTCATTACGTGAGCCTCGAAACGCTACCGTAATCGTCGAGTAAAAATCATCCAACATTGACTAGTTTTGTTTCTATTCTGAACCATTCAGCAATTCCCATAGACTGCCCCAGGCTGGCTTCGAATTACTCTTAAAAGTAGAGCGGGTGTACTTGTAAATTAGATTATCGGAAAATTATTTTTACGTTGAAGAACGATCAGATTGGCAAGGTGTTCACAGTGTAGTTATGCTGTATATCAAAATGCTTAACTGCCCAATTGTTGTTGTCTTTCCCATTTCAATCCCGATGATTTCAGTCCATTCAAAGCGGTCTGGGACTGGATTATATTGCTGCTCGTTATATATACGGCAGTATTCACACCGTACGTTGCTGCCTTTCTTCTCAGAGAAGTTTGTAATTTTTTGTGTTTATTATTTCTACTAATTATATAGTTAGTATTTTTTGCTATTTACCCATAATATAGTTAGCTTTGACTATGTGCATAATCGATTTCAGCTCCAAGATACCTCACGTAAGGCTCGATTTTCGGAGCCCTTGGAAATCGTGGATTTGATAGTGGATATTATGTTTATAGTGGACATTATTATTAACTTTCGCACTACATACGTCAATGAGAATGATGAAGTAAGTTGGAATACGGTAATTTTCGGCCAGCTCAACGCATAATAGCAATGACCGCCTGGGCGTTCGAGAGTCCGTCTGGAGGTCTGGGGCGATGCTACAGCTTCATTGAACGAAAGAATATGTGGCACGGGTATGGTGCGGAACCTGGGAATCCACAACTCTGTTCCCAGAATTCGCACCGCAGCTGTTCTCTATTGGTGTCTTGCCTACACCGAATTTCTCATACGAAAACCCTTTCCTAACCTTCGTAATGCCAGTGCAATCCATTCTAAAACCAGTGGCCAATAGGATACATGGCGTAGCTTCATTGCCGCCAAGCTCTAAGACCTTCTTTTCAATTCCTTTCAAAGCGGTCATGTCCATAATCATCATGACTTCCAACGATGTTTTTTATTTCAGGTAGTGTCGCACCCGGGTAAAATTGCCATCCACTACTTCAAGGGATGGTTCGTCATAGATATGATAGCTGCCGTGCCATTCGATCTGTTATTAGTGAATACTAATAGTGATGAAGTAAGGAAATCTTGTTCCAGTCAGAAGCCATTGAAATTAGTATTGTTACTTTTACCCCGAAAATGCGAATTAAAATTTATCAAAATTCGAGCGTTGTCATATTTTATCATGTGTAAGATTGTGATGATGTACGTTCATAGTCAGCAGATGTCGGAAAAGAACAGCGTTCACGAATGAAATAACGTTTACTAGAAGAGAGCGCAGGATGTTAGAGACGCAGGCATTCCATCTCGAGATCTCTGCGCCTCCTTTCAATCAATGCTGCCTTGATCCTCGGCAGCTGTGTCGCACGCCGTTGCTAAGTGTAAATGCAACTGCGCTGCAAAAAAACTAATAAAAACTTAACCACATTGTTTTTGTTCTTGTAATTTCATTGATACATTTACAGACCACCACGCTTATTGGCTTACTGAAAACTGCTCGATTGTTACGGTTAGTACGGGTAGCAAGGAAATTAGATAGGTAAGTCCGTTATATTGGCTCAGTTATTCACTTATTTCGATCTATTTTTCATTAGACAGTCTTTTCCTTCTGCCTTTTCTGAGTTTCCTTATTGCTTCCTACATTCGATTCATGTGAGATTTTGTAGGGGCATTAATGAATTAGAATTATTCTCAATTTTCAATACCGTCTATTAAATATTTCTGTAAAAATTGCAATAATTGAAAATTTTAAGTTTTTTGTTTGAAATGTCGACTTTATCTTATTATTCAGGTATTCCGAGTATGGCGCTGCCGTGTTGTTACTTTTAATGGCAACGTTCGCCCTTATCGCTCACTGGTTAGCATGTATATGGTATGCGATTGGAAGTGCCGAATTACCACATAAGCGCGAAATTACGTGGTTACATCAATTATGTGAGTATATGGACGAGTTTTTATGGCAATGGACGAGTTTTTGGAGTTGATAGGCCATGAAATTCGGATCTGTTCCACTGACACCCTGTCGGTCATCGATTTTCCCCAAGCGGATGCCGGGTAATGTCCCTCCATTCGTCCCTGTCGCGAGCCATAGTGGTCCAGTGAATAGTCCCCGTCCGAGGGCACGGGCATAGCATTTCTTTCGTTCAGAGTTTTTCGAAGAAGTCTGAGCATCGATGACGGCTGCCCTGGCGGTCACCCTGGCGTTCGTTTGAGTCCCCGAGGAATCCATTCAAAAACCGCCCTCGTCCAACGGTCATCACAATATCGCATAATGTTTCCGGTCCACCTGATCTTTGATTCCTTGGCGTAAGCATCGGGTCCCTAAATTCCATTCGTGGACGGTGCTCCCACCTCCAGATTCCGTTTTGCGCTTGCGTGTGCGGAAAATTCGGAGCACCACCCTTTCTACAGCCAAATGGATGAGACTGAATGCATGCTCGTCCTGTTTTCGTAGAGTTCAAGTCTCTGAGGCATATTTCAGAGCCGCAGTCGTAGCGAAGGAAATGGAAGGCGGAGTAATCGGCGGCTTTTCGTGGCTTTTCATTTCCTTCAATTCTTTCTTCTTTTGATAATTTGCCCTTTTAAGTGAAAATGTCATGTGCCCTTTTGCAAGAATTTCTTTGCAACTATTTTTAGCGAGATTACTGCCCCATGTGTATTGAAGGATGACATCAGAGTCCCTATTTAAATTAAGCTAATGAGGCCATGCTGCACATAGACATTGTCCAGTGTTGCCTCATTTGCATCATGCTGCTATTTATAACGATAGTTCCGGGGTTTTTGGGGATTTTTTGTATGGCAGCACGTGATCCCATCAAATTTGAAAAGTCTGGAAACTTCATTACTCTAACAATTCATGGTCGTGACTGACACACTAATGAATCCCATCCAAAGTGCGGCCGACTTTTCAATTTCCATTGTTTTCGAATGAGGACAAGGCTCGATTAAGAATCTGCTGAGGGGAGAATCATGAGTGACTCAACTTTCAGGGGTAGAGATCTTTTCTATTTGACTTATAGCCCATGCCACATGGTTTACCATGGAATATGCGAGAAGTGATTTCTTCCTCACCCGGGTTTTGGCCTCTGGGATCCCAAGAGAGATCCCATGCTAAATTTAATGGCAATCTATACCCAAGTGGCCCGGATCGACTTTAATAGTTTCACGAGGATCACGAGTTATGGGTGGAACTCCTGCCTTTGACAGAACTCGATCCCGTTCTTGTGCTTTCCGGTCACCGTGCTCTTAATCGCTTCCAGTACCGAAACAGACCCCGTTTGCCCTAAAATTTTTAATGGCTTCTACCAAAGTATCAATTTGAAGCCAACTTCCTCTAATATTGATCATGAAAGACTATATTTTTTAGTTAATTAGCTTCATAACATAGAACATTTTACAAAAAAAAACCCTCAAAGGTCGTTAACCATGATTTTTTTTCCAGCACGACATCTGAACGAGCCATATTTGTCGACAAACGGCACGGTACCAACGGGTGGACCGTCGTTAAAGAGTCGATATGTGACGTCATTATATTTTACACTGTCGACGATTACTTCAATAGGTTTGTTGAATTTTACAAATATCAGAGAGAATTCATTGGGTGCAAGAAAAAAGGCGCCTACGGTTTTTTGACTTTGGGGAAGATCTTTGAATTTTTCGACGTTCAATACAGTTCGAAATCTAGAAAATACTAGGCTTAGCAGCTTTTTTTTTT